GCCCTTACTCTTATATAAACTTTATTAAGCACCTCTTTCTGCTTCCAACAAGCTTTTATTGAGTCCATCAATCTCTTCACCAGCTGCGGGGAAATTGTTCAGTCAGATGAAACGGACCTGTCCTCTAGAGGGCACTGAAGGACTTGTAAACTAAGCTTAACCCTGAATGTTTTCCCTCTGAAGGTCCTTTCCTCCCTGGCCAGTTTAAACATCAGGCAGTCGAAGGAGGTCTCATATTCTGAAGATGAAAAGAGAAAATTGTTGAAAACCTCCCTCGTCCTCTTACTCTCCATCCTCTAGGGTCTTCATGCCCAGCTGATGGACAGCAACTTGGATCCTGTGGAGGTGGAGAGAGCGCAGCAGGGCCAGAAGTCAGACTACCCAAATGGCATCCCAGAGTGTGGCACAGATGCTCTCCGGTTTGCTCTGTGTGCTTACACCAGCCAAGGTGAACTTTTTACGTCTTCCTTGTTTGTCCTGTTTTCCTTCTTAGATTCCTTTTAATGACCAGTGTTTGAAATTCACTAATATACATTAATTACAAACCATAAAGCTGATCTCTGTCAATCAGAAGTAGACATTCATGAGTGTTTCAGGTAAATGAATCCCTTTATGCCTGAAAATGACTTTGGTGTAGATCTGCACCTTTTCTTTCATCAGACCAATGCTATAGTACCCACAGCTATGGCCACTAATGCCATTTTCACTCATGATAATTCTTCTAGCAGATAGAAAACCACATTTTAACAAGTATAACAAGTATACAGCTTGATTTCCACTGGAGTCGTTCTTTGGTATTGACTGAAATCTTCATTTCTGAATCTCGCAGGTAGGGATATCAACCTGGATGTCAACCGCATCCTGGGCTACCGTCACTTCTGCAACAAACTGTGGAATGCTGTGAAGTTTGCCATGAAGACTCTAGGAGACAACTTTGTACCATCAGAGAAAGTCCAGGTGAGACCAAGGGAACAGATGAAGGATACAGAACATAAACAAAGTCTGTTCCATGCTTATTGATATTCCTCGAGTTACATGCGTAACACATTTTGACCAAATCTCTGTTTCAAAACAAAACAGTGTTTGTTTGGGGGCTTAGTTTGCCATGATTTGTATTCGTAGATTGGCACACATTGACATTTGGGACATACCTGGTGCGGGGTTGTTTTGCCTGAATCTAAAGATCTCTCTTTTTTTTTCTTTTTTACACTTCTGTCGATCCTCTCAGTTATCTGGAGAGGAGAGCGTATCTGACAGGTGGATTCTGTCCAGGCTGAGCGCCGCTGTTACACTCTGTGACGCCGGCTTCAAGGCCTACGACTTCCCGACCATCACCACCGCCATCTACAACTTCTGGCTGTACGAGCTCTGTGACATCTACCTGGTAAGGATCTTGTAGGCGACTGAGCAGCCCAGAGTCTCATGAAAGTTCCACTTCCTCCTTATCTTTTCCTTTCTCTCGTCTTGTTTTCTAGGAAAGTGTGAAACCAGTATTCAGTAAAGCAGAGGAAGACAGCACGAGCCAGAGACAAGCCCTGGTGTGCAGACAGACCCTTTACACCTGTCTAGAGGTTGGTCTACGCCTGCTGTCTCCCTTGATGCCCTTCGTCACTGAGGAGCTCTATCAGAGGTTACCACGAAGAAAACCTCAGAGCGATCCTCCCAGCATCTGCGTCACATCATATCCCACCACCGAAGAGGTGAGAAAAAGAAGGGGGGGGGCAGCTTGTGCTGAATCTTACTGATGCTCAAATAGCCTTAAAAAGTTTTTTTGTGGAGAGTGCTGTTTTGTGTTTTTTGCAATTATATTTTTCCCTGTGATTTGTTGTAGTTCTGCTGGAACAGTGAGGAGGTGGACCGCGACATGGAGTTCATAATGACCATTGTCAAGACGATCCGATCGCTTAGGGCTGACTACAATCTAACCAAGACCAGAGCTGACTGTAAGACACACAAAATAAATTCTAAAAGTGATGCTAAAAATAATTTTTAGTTCATATTTCATCTATTTTCATGTGGAAATTAACGAGCATGTCTGTTCAATGCTGTACTTACAGTTGGAAATTAGCTCAATTCAGCATGTTCACACAAGCCTGCCAGCTTCACATGGAAATCTTTTTGCACACTGCTCAGAAAAATTAAGGGAACACTTGACCTTACAGTCCCAGTTAAGCTTCTGGGATATTAATCTGTCCAGTTAGGAAGCACAAACCATTTAGAATTCACTTCACAATGGTTTGGTGCAGATGAAAGTGACAACAGGTGGACTGGAGAGGCAACAAAGACAGAGAAAGTTGGGAGGAGGGGTGGTGACCACAGAAAATTTTGCCCTCCTGGTTGAGTTTCCTGTAGTTCGGCTTTTTGTTAGTATCCTTGTCACTGCTGGTAGCTCGAGTTGGTATCTGAAGCCCGTTGAGTCCTGTTCATCCAGGGCGGTACATTCATACGTGTTATCACAAGATTAGCTGTCTTTCCCCACCACAGTCTCAACAGTGTGGAGGTGATACCTGGGGATACTAGCAGAGCTGGCTCTTATGCTGTCTGTTCTTCTCTGTGGGACAAGGAGCACTGCCAGAGCCCTTACAGAATGACCTCCAGCAGGCTACTTACATCCTCGTTTCAGATCAAACTGTTAGAAACAAAATATGTGAGGACCTGGCGACATTCACCTGATCTGGCGATCTGATTTGTGCTCACAGATCAGCTCCGTGCAGCTTGATTGGAGTTTGCCAGAGAGCACCAGAACTGGCAGGTCCACTACTGGCGCCCTGCTCTCTTCACAGATGAAAGCAGGTTCATACTAAGCACGTGACAAGCATGAAATAGTCTGGAGATGCTGTGGCAAATGTTATTCTGCCTGCAACATCATCTGTGAAGAGAACGGGATGCCAGTGGCGAGCCTGCCAGTTCTGGTTTTCCTAGGAGGATGCCAGTTGAGCTGCATGGTGCTTGGCTGTGAGCACAGATCCCACTTGTCACCCTCGTAGAGTCTGATTCTGACTGTTTGGTTAGAAACATGCGCTTGAATAACCTGCTGGAGGTCATTCTGTCTCCGCTGCACAATGGACCAGATACCGGTCCTGCTGCCAAGTTGCCCAGCTCTCCTCATGTCCCCTGGTGTCTGTCTGAGAGACACTGCAAATCTTCTTGTATGGATGTGGCCATCCTGGAGCTGGACTCACTGAGTAACCTGAGTGGGATGTAGACAGTGACTCATGCAACCAGCAGCAAGTAAAATCAGGAGGGATAGAGCGAGAGCAATGGTCTGTGGCCGTCACCTGTGAAAACCATTTCCTTTCCAGAGGTTGTCTTGTTGTTGTTTCTTCAGCAACTTTCATTTGCACCAAAGCAGGTGAACATGATTCTGTATGGTTTATAATTTCTGACTGGACAGATTGATGCCACTTAAATTTTAGGGATATTATGTTATACTGGGATGATCGAGTGTTCCCTTATTTTATTTTTTTGAGCAGTCTATTTTTATTCCACTATAGTTTTGAATTTGATGGCAGTAATGCTGCATTTTATGACAAGCAATGATTTAAAGATCTAAAGAGGGGAGCAACTGTAGTGACAGATCGAGTGGACTATAGCAACAAGAGTTTGGCCTGAAACACACGAAGACTTTAGAAGTCTCCAAGAAAAGTTTCTGATTCTCTAAAGAAGTAAACTTGCTATTAAAAGAAAGGATTAGAGTCTAACAAGCAGTTTTCAGCTACTTTACATAATATTTTCCAACCTCTCCTACTTTATAGTTCAACTTCGGCATACAGATATTGGAAAATATGTTAAAGCATTTACATACCATATGTTGTTATTATAAAATATGCTTCATTAAAATGAATTAAACTGCACACCAGTATGTAGAGGATGTGTATGCACTGAATCAGAGTTATAGCTCATCAGGAATGCACTGTTCTGATGCTCGAAACCTTTACCATCTGTATTTTCCTCTCTTAGGCTACCTCCAGTGCATAGACTCTGCAACCGTGTCCCTGGTGCAGAAATACAGTCTGCAGATACAGACCTTGTCTTATTCTCAGGCCGTCATCCCTCTGACAGCCAACCAGCCTGTCCCAGAAGGCTGTGCTGTGGCTATCGCTTCTGACAGATGTACTGTCAACCTTATGCTCAAGGTGAGGGCCAGTATAATCTGCCCTGTTCTGTGTGTATCCTTCCATCTGTCTGTTATATCAGGTGTGTGTATCTAAGTGTGTATTTTAGACCCCCTGTACTATGAATGCACGAGTGTTTTACATGTAGGTTTTCTTTTTTCAAGTTTTAAATTAGGTGAATTCCCCTGTGAATAGCCTGATAGATATGAGTAGATATGCATTTATACTATCAGGGATGCCATTTTTAAATTTGCTCCACCTGAATGGCAGTTCAGTGTTTTGTTTTTTTTTAAGTTTCTCCATTGCAGAGCAAAAATAACAGGATCAAGTTTTAGCTGCGATTCCCATTTTCACTTCTTTTCCCCCCCACAGGGTCTCATTGACGTGGAGAAGGAAGTGGCTAAGCTGATGACAAAGAAAGGGGATTTGGAGAAACAGATGGAGAAACTGAGAGAGAAGATGGGGAAGAATGACTACAAGGAGAAGGTGCCGGTGAAGGTGCAGGAGCAGGATGCTGAGAAGGTGGGAAAAGGAAATTGACTCGACAGGATTCTCAGGTTGTAAGAATTCCTTGTAAATAAGAAACTTCCTCTTTCTCTCCACAGCTACGACAGAGCCAGATTGAGCTTGAGAAGGTGAAAGAAGCCATGGACAACTTCAGGAAAATGATTTAATTCCTATTTAGCTTTATGTAAAATCTGCTTTTTTTTCATGTCATGTTAATTTTCTTTTTCCCAAGTGAATAATGGACAATACTCAATAAAACTCTTGTACCAGACAGCGGTCTTCAGGGATGTGAAGCAATCTATTAATCTAACTCGCTTGTAAATCTGTAAAGTGTTGAGCAGTCGTATCAAATAATGAACAAAAGAATCAAATCCCTTGTTATATTTTCATTCGGCATATTTAATAGAACATTTAAGAGCATCATTTTAGGATACAGCTTTGTTCAGAAAGACGGTGCCCACAGAAAGGAAATGAACCTGAATGGCTTCGGCTGCATTTTTAAAGACTTAAGTTCTTCTGGCCTGACAATATTAGGAATTTTTTAAATCCACTTACAACATATTTCTACTTACAGCTGCTTTAGAAATACAGCCAAAGAGGGGGAGACTGGAAGGAGTGAGTAATGGCTTGTGCATTTATTTAAAATGCATCTTTCTTTTCTTTTTAAAAGGAGAAACACTGAAAAGTAGAATTCATTACAAAAACTAAAATAAAACATGTTATAATTTACAGGGATTTGTCTGAGGGGGCATAAATAGTAGACCAGATACTTCTAGATGCCATCACGGCAAAACTATACGTGACAACTCGTCTTAGAAAAATCCTAGAACAAAATCACAGCAGTACATTCACGCTGTGCCAGGAACAAACTGACCACCGGCCATACGAGTCCTCTGTCTTTGCCCTCGTCCATCCATCAGTGGGCTTCCCCCCCCCCCTTTTTTTTACAGTCTCCAAGGCGGGTGGAACTCGATGGCGGGGAGAGGAGTGCAGTGTGTTGCTTCGAAGTTTCGCATGTACTTTCGTGCCTTGAGAGAAAGAAAAAGACAGCAGGGATGGAGGAGGAATGTGGAATGAGAGGTGTGGGAGGGCAATGAACAAAAAGTGCAGAACTTGATTATATTAGGTTTGGTCTATCTGGCTCAGTGCCTTACAAATCTCTCCCATCTCTTAAGGGTTTACACAGGAGGTGAATAAAGCCTAATTTAGAAGGCATTACCAGGGGAGGAAAAGCATAGCATTAGCTGTAATTGATGGCACTCCTCTTGTTTGATGTTAAATGACTTCAATAAGCTGAGCGCAGTGAAATATATTACACCAGTCAACCTGAGAGCACAGGTGAGCTGGTTACTATGGCGACCAGGAAAGTGTTCCTTAGTGGTAATGCTGTCTGAATAGCTGTGATCTTTTTTTTTTTTTTTTTAAATGGGGATGCAATAGAAGGGGGGGAAGGTAAACCGACCTAAAACGAGAAGATGGGGCTTACTGAGAAAAGGAAATGAGACGCTGAGCGTAAAAGGAGGAACTTGAATGTATTAAAATCAAACTTGGACAGATCAGATAAAGACAACAAGTGGCTGCCCTTTAAGCCACACAGGGGAATAACTGTTCTCACGGAGATGTAGCACACTGATAACAGCGGATGACTTCCTTACCAAGAATAGAGCCAGCTGCCGCCTTCCCTCTAGAGTCATATCTTCACCTGGTAACATTAACAGTGCATCAGACCGTATTAAAAACACTTTATGTTTGTGGGGAGTTTATTTGCCTTTTAAATGTGAAAGCAGCCCAGGGCTTACCAACACTCCATGGAAACGAAACATCTCTGTCTGCCTGATAGGACTGCAGCACAGACACGCACCAGTCGTCGTCCACTTCATAGCCACTGTACACAGACGCTGCAGACAAAGAGCTGGTGTTATTATACAGTTAATAATACAAATTTACAAGCAAGTTGGTGTCCTAAATATAGCCAAAATTTACACTTTGAATACATTTAGGACCACATGTTTTTGGACAATTACACCAATTTTGTAGCTTGGATTCTGTGGGGGTGAAGGGCAGACTTAGCTTGAATTCAAGCTGTTTTTAAAATACATTGCATTTACTGCTAAGGAATAACAGCCACTTTAAAACGCTGTCCTCATTTCCCAACGCTCAAAAGTAAAATGACAAAGTATAATACTTTAATGAAATCCTTTACATTCAGTTAGTACCCGTCCAGATACCATAGGCATCACTAAATGCCGTATTTCCTACCTTGCTCTGCCAAGCCTATAATTGCAGCCACCTTTAGTTACTGCTTATTTATGGCTCTTTGCTGCAGTGAGTTGCATGTAAAAATTGAAAATGATGCTCTATTTGTGTTGCGATCAAATGACTGCCATCCAATTTCTTTAGATTTAACCACTCTGGTCATTATCCCTTTGCACTGCGAAGTGCTACCTGATCGGTTTAACAGCATCTGGCTGAATCTGCAGCTCTGTATACGTCCCAGTTCATGTTGCCATTTCTAGCAGTCAGCAGTCACAAAAACATCAAACATCAGTGACCTAGTTACACTGTCATAACATTCCCTCCACCATGTTTTATAGAAAACATGGTATGCTTCAAATCACGAGCAGTTTCTCTGTTTCTCCATAGGTTTACTCTTCCCATCATTCAGACTTTTTATTTCAGGACTGTGCACATGTCCTTACTAGTTCTTGTGTGTAACCAGTGGTTTGCACCTTATTGTAAACCCTCTGTATTTACATTCACAAAGGCCCCTCTTGGTTATAGATCTTCACAATGATCTGCCTACCTCTGGTGAGTGCATTCCTTCTTTTTAAGAAAGAATCAGATTGTTTATTTGACCACTTCTAGAGTTTACATTCCCTCTGATGAGTCTGTGTTTTTGTCTAATGATGGTCTATAAACATCTCTCTGGTCTTCTCATTGAGAGTAAAACGCTACCAAATATAACTTCAGCTCCTATTGGTTTAATGGTCACTTAATAAGAAGGGCACAGGCCTCACCAGGCCATGAAACTGTAAGGTCCAATTACTTCTAAGTATCTGAAAACAGGTGATACAGTACTTTTGGTAAGCGTGCTTTTTTGATTGATTCAAAATCTCCTGTCAAGTGTGCAAACTGTTTAAATACCTAAGGGCATAACTGTAGATGTCCGAGTCCAACCACCACAAGGCTGGAAATTCCCTCTACAATAAATTCACTCGTTCTTAACGTATTTATGATTATATTGCATTAATTTTCTCCCATTTCACAACATTAATGCATCTCTCCTGGACCCAGATCAGGTTATCAATTTTCAAAACTTAATCACTTTAGTTTTTGGGCGGATCGCACCTCCAGTAAAAATTTCATGCAGGGTTGGCCATAATGTGACAAATCCATAAAGTTATCAAAAGTTTTACCCATAAAAATGAATAAAACAATAAAAACCTATTTAATTTAAATGACCTCCGAGTCAAAACAAAGGTTTTCTGCATTGTACAAATTCTGAAGGTGTAAACAGGTGCATGATCATCGTTTTTACAAACACGAGGTTGTGCGCTGTAACTCTGTACCTCGGGGTAAAATTTTCAACAAGGTCTACTGTAATATCCTGAGGCAAACGATCTGTGCTGTGAAGATTTTCAGCCGGAGCAACACAATCTGAATCATTTGTTGAGTAATCAGAACACAAGATCTGTCCAAGGAAACCATCACGAAGAGGAAATGTGAATTATAGTTTTTAGATGTTTAAAAGGAGGAGTCAGACTTTTACGATAACACCTTTTACTGTGCCACGTACCTTCTTCTAATGGACTGGAGGCTCCGAGCCATTGTCTGACTACTCTGATCCCTTCATCTGTCATTATTTTGGGATACCTGTCCAGAAAAATGATATCGCCAGTTAAAAAGTGTATTACTCAAGTGCAAATTGACTGAACAGCGAGAACAATGAGAACATTGAGGGCTAAGAGACCAACCTGAACTGTAGCAGCTTGAGCAGGAGGTCATTGCCTCTGTTAGACATGATGTCCTCAGGACCCCTGAAATGCAAAATAAAACTCAAAGGTTAATTACTTTAAAAAAATAAATAAATCCAACAATAAAAAGGTTATTTTAAAACTACATGTGAAACAACAAAATATGAATAGAGTAAAAATGTGACGACAGCCTCTCCTCACAGCGAGGAAACATAGGCGTGGCTGGTGCTACTGACTGCAGGACAATCACAAGGAAACTGCACAGGTCACCCTGCAGGAGGCAACCTATCTCCAAACAACGATGATCCAACTCAGACTGACTGCAATCACACTCAGACAGATTATAAAGGTTTGCAAATAACTGCTGTCTAATTTATCTGCAGACAGAGCGCCAACAGATTGCAATCAATATGGAAAGGGTTGCGCTGTTAAACGCAACCCTTCGATGGGTCTCTTTGCAACAGGAGACTCCACTCAACTAGTTGCCAACTGGTGGTGTTCTGCTTGTACTCCTATATAAAGTAAGACTGCCGAGTGCCTTTAAGATTTTGTAGTTAAACTCACATCCTGTAGCAACTTTGTAAGAATTTGTTTTAAATCCATCTGAATCTGTCTTCACTCAGACTGCTGTATTATTCATATATTTAATCAAACACATTTCATCACATTACAAATTTTCACATTTAAATAATATTTCTTCACAATAAAATAAATAGAAGCAAGCAAATCCATTCACAGACAAAACTTTCATAACCTTCACTGAAATCATGACTACAGGATGTTATTACTGGAAATAGTTTGGACTAAAAGCACAGGAACTTGTGAAAAATCCAGACAGTTATCATCATCAGATAAATTCTGATTTTTAATCAGATTTTTAATGCTGTAAGTAACAAACACTGACTTTCCTTTCACGTTCCCTGTAGTGGTTACAAGGCAAACTGAACTGAAACACCCGGTGCAAGGGCTTCAAATCAAATATCGCTGCACTGAATATTTTCTGCAGCTTGAGTCAAAAGCTCACCTTGGCATTCATGTTCCCTGGAGTTTCAAGAGAAATCTACAATACAGCTATCTCATAACTGTAATGAACTGAACCAAAGGAAGTAAGAAGTTCCGGTTACTGCTTATCCAAGAAATATGTCAATTTGTGACTGAGGGTGAACTTTCTACTTCTCTCTGTATTGTGAGAGTTTGCTTTCGTCAACTACATTATGGAAGTGCTGTGGAAATAAACAACTGTTTGCTTGGTACACAATTGTTAAAATCTTTTTTATATTACTTACAATCTAATCCATATTAATCAACTTTCTTCTGAATGACTGTCCCTCACAACCGTGAAGCTTAAATAGGAGGGTTTAATGTGGGATCTTGTACTCACAGCCAGAGCTGTGTGCCTGAGAGTCAGCCATGTTACCAGAATCCACTGTCACTGCTATTATACAGACCTAAGAGTAGAAAAAAACCCTGAAGCTGTATTTAAAGCAGTCTGGAGCCTGAGCTTTTTATTTGTTTCTTTTAATTATTTTCTGCATGACTTTATCAACCTCTCAAATCGTTGAGGAGGAATTTTGGCCCACTCTTCTTTACAGCTTTGCTTCAGTTCATTGAAGTTTGTGGGTGTTTGTTTGTCCACAGCTCTTTTAACGTTTTTGCCACAGCGTTTCAATCAGATTGAGATCTGGACTTTGGACAATTGCAGCACCTTGATTATTTTCTTTTTCAACCATCCTTCTGTAGATTTGCTGCTGTGCTTCAGATCAAACCCAATTTCAGCCATGTTTAGCTGAAGAACAGATGGCCTCACATTTGACTCTTGAATACTTTGGAAAACAGAGGAGTTACAACTCAATGACTGCAAGGCAAAACGGTTCTGTGTCTGCAAAACAAGACCAAAGCAGCCCCTTCACCCCTGTGCTTGGCAGTTAGTATGAGGTGTTTGTGCTAATATGCCGTGTTTGGTTTATACCAATCTCCACTTTGGTCTCATCTGTCTAAAGGACATTGTTCCAGAAGCCTTGTTGTTTGTTCAGATGCAACTTTGCAGGCATCTGGGAGGTTTTCTCCCGGCAAACCTTTCCAAACAAGCCACACTTGTTCAATCTTCTTCTAATTGTACTCAACTTTGCAGGCTTCAGCAAGTTAAATGTTACAAGTCCGAGCTGTAGTATCTCTGTAGGTTTCTTGTAGTGTCCCTGAGCATAGAGCATGCCCAGGATGACTCTGGGATGAATATTTATGTTCACTATGTTAATGCACACCTCTGTAGCAAATTCTATGGATGAAGTAAGGGTATACTATGGGTGATAATTCAGTGTACTTAATAATTATATATTATAGATACTTGTGTGTGTCAGTGTGTCCAGGTCACCAACTATCTTCCCAGGTTTTGGGAAATTGATATGGGGTAACTAGACATGCCCCATCTCCTTCATCTTTGAGCATTTTTAATTTGAGATGTCATTTAGCGCTTTCTTTCTCCTTCTCTAAATCCAGGTTCCCCTAAAAAAGTCCCCGCTTAGGAAAGTCCACACCGGAAATGTTTTATTTGTCACGCATTGGTGGTTGATGCAATTACCAGATATTCCAAGCTCTGGTTACCTAGGTAACCGTATCTCATGTCAACCAACAATACCCTTCATTCTCATTGATAGTTGCTTTAATTGCTCACCCCAGTGGTGAGAAAACCTGCCCACTTCATGTCACCAGCAATCACTGAACTTTCTGTGGTCTGACTGCATCATGTGTGGACATTTCTGCAGTGGGCTGGGCAGTAAAAAGCAAACCTGCCATGCTGAGCCATTTGAAGGACTTTATAAGTTCCATGACATGTGTGGACTTACGTTGTGGTGATGATCTCATCTCTGGTTCTCCTGATCAGCAGGACTGGTCCCTGGTATCTGCACAAAGAGTTGCATGCGCTTGTATTAATCATCAACCACACAACTGTGAGCAATCCACTAAAAAAAATGTAGTTTTGCTATTGTTAGCGGCTGTATTACATAACATTCAGTGATTCAGAGTTTGACTTTTCACGATTAGTGTCACTGCAATCAGACTGTCCCACTCACTTAAGAACCTGCGCAGCGTTGTTGAGGTTCATGTATTGCCTAACTGTGTGTTGTACTAACGGCCCTGAAAGAGACCAAATACACTCAAGTTACTGACTTCTACAAAAAGTTGCTACATAGAGTTTGAGATCTTTAACATCTAGGACTCACTCCAGCTGTCAGGCATGACCTTGAGGGCCAGAGGCAGGAGGTCATCAAAGGAGGCATCCAACACTAATGATTGGATCTCTGGATATGACATCACTGCCCAGCTGGCTAAAAAGAGAAATAAAGAGACAGAGGAACAAAAAAAGAGAAGAAAACACAGATAAGGGATAAACATAAGCCCGAGGAAGGACTACATACCATAATTCACACTTAACATTAAAGTGCTGATCATGTACTGTACTTCAGCTGAATACCCAAAAGCTAAAGAGAGTGCCGCGCACACACAAAGCCTCAGGATAAGGTTGACTAATCTTAATTTTAGCGATTTATTCCAGCCATGCTCTGACGAGGGCCATGAGGCTGAAACATTAGCATGTTTGTTGACATGGTCAGAATAAACAGGTGAAATTAAGATTACTCTACAGTATCCTGAAGCTCTGTGTGGGTGCTACATTTTTACCTCTGGGTATTCAAGGTTAGAATTAAAAAAAAACATTTTTTAGCACAAAAAACTGGAAAAAAATTAAAAAATTAGCATGTGTTGTTCTTGTCTTTGAGAACCTGTGAATCCTCCAATAGACCAGGCATATATAACAATGTCGCTGAGGCTGAATCCCAGTTTGTGTACTGCAAACTGGATCACCACATCCATGGCGTTGGCCTCATTCTGGGGAAACGGCACTCCCTGAAAGGAAAATACAGGTTTAAAAAAAAAAACCCCCGCCCATCATGCATGACTAAATTAACAGACTCAACCTACACATAAACAATGACACTTTAAGTAACCTCCCAAATGATTTCATCTTTAATGGGAGTGTACACGTTCCTCTTGAACAATACTCCCTGGCTAAAACTAGAATTTCCACATACTGGTATTTTCCACTGAGCTGTTTATTTGTTCTAACTCAAGCACACAGCAGTACAGTATGCAGCACATACATTGTAGACCTATTTTATGATAAAAATAAATAAATAAATCTACCAACACTGCTTACCGTGCTGCCTCCAAAGCCAGGGTGATTCCAGCCCAGTACAGAGTAGCCACCTACAGTGTACATCAGCACAATACTGAACTATAACTGCGACAATTTCCCACTGCGCGAAATTTAAATATCACTACAAAATATTTCAGCTCTTGGAAAGTAAAGCATTCCTTACCCTCCAGCGGCGTATTCATGCAGCCCACCTCATAAAAGCCTGCGTTCCCCTCACAGCAGATGACCTGTGGCAGAATTAGAGAACCAGCTGTAACGTGACCAACGCGACAGAAATGATGTCGGACCCTGGAACAAGCCCAAGGCATAAAATAACAAATCACTGCAGACATTTACCAGAGTCTGGCCATTCTGTCCCCCATCTCTCCTTCGATCCACAAACATTGTGTCAATCTCATTACCGTCACAGGCCACCAGCTTGTTTCTTTGGCCGTCAAACTGTGACAAAGTGGGACAAAAATGATTGAGTGTGTGCATTTATTATACTCTATATGAGAAACCAAATATGCTTCTTTCCCACCTCTTCTATTAATTTAGCCTGACCCTGCTGCAGCATTGGTCTCATGGCTTTCTGCAGTAAACCCACAGAACCGGGGTACAGCATCCTCCTCCCAAACGTGTGGGCAATGACAAAACTGCAGACAAAGACCGATAATGACACTGTGGCATAACTGCTAACAGGCTAAAAAATATTTTCAGAGAAAAAAAAAAAAAAAAAGGGTTGAAGGGGATGGAATAGGATGCCTAAGGTTAAGAGTTTGTGCTCCATTGGTGCGTTGCAATTAACAAATCATTGATCAGTGTTACCCCTTTTCCACAGATGTGGTGTTGGGTCCAGGCATTTTCACCACAAAAGATATTATTTTTTATGGAAGAGTCTTCCACACAAAATTCATCAATTACTGCCAGAGGCTGCACCCGATGTGCCCATGGAAATTACCCTAATTTCCACTTGCTGTGATATTAACAAGCCATTCTTAAACATGCAGAAATGGCTCTCAACAGGCAAGCCTGCATCAGTACCAGCACAGACACCATGTAGGTGGAAAAGAGATGTAACACAAACTCTGCATTTACCTGATGATGTGGCATGGTAAAGTGCGGACAGAGTGGAGGACACTGTCTGCTGCTCCTCTTAATCTGGGCTCTGGCCTCAGGAGAGAAACGCCAGCCTTGGACAGCTTTCTGTCAGACAGGTAGTCAAAGGCTTACAATGAATCAAGTGAGCCACAAAGCATTTGACATTCAGTGGCTGTATTCATCCAGTGTACTACCCAGTGCTTTGAATTCATATATTTAAAATAAGCAGAGAAGAGAAAAGCAGCGACCTCAGGTTCACTACAGATTAAACAAACTTACGGACTGCTGACTTCAGTCCAGCTGAAATCCAAAGGCCAATGTGAGAAGTCAAAGTCATAGCATCTCAGTTTTTTCTGGAAGGAAAGCAGAAAATATGTCTTAGTCATTTATCTCTCTTAATTCTCAAAACAGTATTAATGTTGAGCTTCTGAGTTCAGCTGCTATGATCTCACCTTGTTTGCTGGGGTGTGATTCTTCTTGGTTTCCTCAAGAATTGTGATAAACTGAACATAATCAGTGTTCCTAAATCTCCCCCACCCTTTGGCGATAAATGAAAAGAGCAAAGGGAGGCAGGGGGAAAGCAAAGACAGATGGAGTTATAGCAAAGTCCATGTGAGACACAAAACACATTTCACTGCAAATCCTCAAGGGTACGTTTAGTATGCCTCGTGGGTGTAGACCTTGTTCAACTGTCTCAATGGTAATAAAATCTTATTGGCATGCAGCATACACAGCATTGGTTTTGATCTCGAAAGATGAATGAAGTGAATTACTCATCGTCTCCCAGCGAGTTCAAATCAGCAGCCTCACCTCTAAGACAGGCCACTCCAAGAAGACACACAAGAACAGTTCCCACATACTGACTCACAGGAACCAGTTTACTGCTACAGATGAAGCCTAAAGACAGACAAAGTAACAGTGATGCAAACACCATCATAGTGTACCCCTTCATCTGTCTGCCAGACTCGAGGCTCATTAACAAGCACTGATAAAAAGATTCACAAGCTGACAGCTACCCTACAACCATGTGCATAAATCAATACCATAAGCACTTTACACTAAGGAGTAACACACAACCTCAAGCAATTACTTTCTTGATGCACAGTCTTACTGGGTGTTTCAGTTGATTAGCTTTATATTATTCCCACATGCATGTGAACAGCAGTTCCTAAGTACATCTCCTAATGGTAGTTTCTCCCCCTTTCTCAGCAGAAAGAGAAATATGGCCACATGTGTCTAAGTGGAAATTATGATGATGATTATTTGAAACCATTCTAAGCAAATTAATGAAAAAAATAGCAGTGAGAAGGAGGTAATATTCTGTAGTAAAACCTAAAAGAAAATATCAAGTGAATAAAAAAAACAAATCTTAAATTACAAGTAAAAACTTGAATATTCTTTGAGATACACATGAACCCATAAATGCATCTGAAAAAACCCTAAAAATCTGAAATTAACGCCTTTTTGTTCATTTTTTGTGACCACATTTCTTCATTTTGCAGGGTCGGATATCATAGATGGTAAACACTGTTATTGCATCTAATCAGGGAAAGCTTTAGAAAAATCATTAATCTTATGATTTGGGGACAGAAGGGTAAAATCAATATATTAACTTTAGTTAATATTTATTTTATTTCTCCGTGCACTCTCAGTGCTCCAGTTTATTTTTTTAATGTGACTCTCTCAGGTTATGCACCTGTTTTGAAGCCTCGCATTTCTTTAAGAGAATAATTAGAATGTTCACATTTTGTACTCATAACCACTTCTCATAATATCTATAATGTCTTTACACTAGATTAATTACCATGTATTCTACCTTCAGTCACAGTTTCAAATTATAAATAACCCCAAAATGGTCCTAAAGCTTTTGAAAACGACATTCACTAAACCCATGAAGCTCACATTTTAGAAGTACAAAGAATGAGAAAATGACTTCAGTGCTTCTTTTTTAATTTGCCATTTTTCACTGAGAGTACAAAGGAACAGAACTGGACAAAGAGACTGGTATAATTATATGAATCTATTTTTTTTTTAAAAACACACACGTAATGTAGAAAAAACCAAATCAATGAAAAATTCCCACATTAAATAATCAAAGTGATGCTCAAAGCTATTTTTACTGTGCATCAAACAAAAACTACTTGCTTCACTTTTTTTCAGAGCCAGCAAAATAACATCATTATTATTATTATTATTATTATTATTATTATCATCATCATCATCATCATCATCATCACAATGTATTATAATATATTCACTAAATTATCATCTGGCATCGTGAGACTCATTTTTAACTGCAACTTGTTGGAGCATCAACATATCTGGCACAAATAATTATTATCAATTCATTTAGCAATTATTTACTCCAATCTATAGATTAACTCAGGTCTTTTAAACATCAAACAATAGTGAAAATGTCTATTAAACATTCCCACACCCCGAGGCAGTGGCTTCAAATGCCTGAAATAATTTCAAATTTACAAAAATAACCTTCCCACTGGACACTTCCTCCATTAATCACTTATAAAAAATGGCTGCTGACTAAATTCCAGTTAACCAGATAATCAACACACTGACTAACATTTCTAATAATTTCAGCTGTAGTCACACAATTCATGAATCAGCCTACCTTTCCTGTAAAGATAGCAAAGAAGAAGAGGAGAGCTGTAGTAGGACAGAGACCATAGTGCTGAAGCCTGGAGGAAGAAATCATAAACAAATCACTAATCATTAATTTAATCTACTTCTGTTTAACTCCACCTACTTCTTTCTATACAGTTCATTACGATATAATACTGACCCAGCCAAGAATGCTGTCAGTGTGTCTTTCCAGACCCCTAGGTTGGTAGTTCCATCCCTGGCAAAAGAGAAGGAAATACTGATCATATCATGCATCAATAGTTTCCCTGATGTTACGTAAAATCAAGTTATTAATAGAAAGAGAAAGGTTCTGAGTTAAGCGTGTTCACTCTGTACACCTAAAATTTCTATTACAGCTCTGAATCATGCTGCCTGCAGAGGCTTTCTGATGACTTGGTGGTGGTGGTGGTGGTGGTTGGGGAACTGGTGGATAACTTTATGAAGTGGTGTAGCAGGAATCAACTGCTACTAAATGTAAACAAGACTGAGAAGGTAATGGTCAAATTTGAACATTAACATTACGCACAAATACCTGCTGAGCACTTAATGACCTTCTTCACAGCACACAGAAACTGCAGGCAGCATCTTTGTTATTCATCTACCTTTCTTATTATAGCTGTTTGCAAAGCTGCTGATTGCTTTTTAAAGTTTGAATGCAAAGGCTAAATGTAGGCAGAAATATATGGAACCAGGATCATCTGTGGAAGCTCAGCTCAGTCAATGTATGCAACTAGAGATCTTCAAGCAGTCTGTGGTCTACTGGTGAAGAGATGCCAACAGGATCAATAAAGTCATTCACAAGGCTGCAACAATCATTAGGAAAAAGCTGAACACATTTCAGACAGTGAGATGAAGGTGGTCAATGAACAGATTTCTCCCCATAAAAGACAAAACATCCTTTTCTGTCTATTATTCATTACACACAGAGTATGGAAACCGAGTGCTGGTTCCAAATTGTCCAGCCCTCAGGAATCGTATCAATGACAACATGTTTTTCTGACAGTTGGAAAACAGTGACATCACATTTATGTCACTGTGGACCTTCTGCACATCTTAATCTGCACATCTCTCGTTTTACTCAATTTACAGATCATATTCAGACTCAAAGATAAAATTGATCTGGAATCAAAAAGCTAATCAACTGCTTTAGTCTGACTTAAAGGCAAAATTGATAATGGCATTAGTATCAATCTGCATTCACATTTCCAACACACTCATTCGCCTCTGCTGACAGGAAGCATTAGCTCTATAGAACTGCACACTTGTGTGACAGGTGAACACAAAGTTGTACTCATGAACGTCAACATCTGTACATATTCATACTGGATATATTATTCACTGCTTTGTTTTTGCACATCTGTTCCTATTGATCTTTTCCCTCTTCCTTTCAATCATCACCACATATAGTAAAATGGCCACTTTATTAGGTGCAACTGCAGGTAGAACTATTTAGGCATGTAAACAAAGTGAAGACCATCTACTGAATTTGAATCTTGTTCACATCTTGAATCTTGACACACATGGCCTACAGCTGCTTTAGACCATACCACGTGCCACTCTTATCAGCTAAGAATAGAAAAGGAGGCTACAAATTGCACCGGCTCGAGTGTGCGGGATATTTTCTTGGTATACTTTGGGCGACTAACTAAGCTTTATTTAAAAACCACAGCCTACCCCAATATTGATGCTGACCATGTCAATCCCTTTATGGCCACTGTGTACCCTTCTTCCGATAGCTGCTTCCAGCAGTCACCATATCACAGAACTCAGACCTTATCAGTTTGGTTTCTTAAATATGGCAATGAGCTCACTGCACTCAAACGACCTACCACCCGCTCAACCAAAACCTTTGAGATGTGGTGAAATGGGATTCACATAATGCATGTAAGGCTGACAAACTTGCAGCAACTGCGTGAAGCTGTTATAACAGTACGAACCAAAATCCTTGAGGAATGTTTCCAGCACCTTGTGGAATCTGTACCACGAAGAACTAAAGCGAAACAGGGCCCAACCCGAAACTAGCAAGGTGTACCTAATAAAGTGTGTAAGTCTATGTAGAAGTGTATGTATTCGATGCTGAGCGTCGAATTCTTTAGATCTCCAGCTCTCATTTAATTTCTAGGGATACTTTTAATTAATTCTTTTGTGGTTGCGGTGTCATTTCATTCGCATCACTTATTCGATCTATCGTTAATTTCATACAAGTTAGCAAACGTTAGCTTAGCTGTTAGCATTATAATTTGAAGACAGAATGTATTCTACAATTCTGTCTTCCCAAATGCTTTTTACAGTTTTTATGCCTTTAAATTGTCCCTGTTTGAGTTTAATATTTTTATTCAATTTATTTGTTTGTTTCGTTCCTCCTGGGTTCTCCTCGGCTCCTGGCTAGCGTTAGCAGAAGCGGTTTGACATCGTCGAAGATAGATTGAATTTAAATGACCGCTCCTTAGACGACGAGACGAAACAAAACACAACGAGACCAAGGAAAGCGTGTCGTTGCGTTCTTGTCTTTTCATTCATTTCTAAAATGTCATTGCAATGCAGGGTTTCAATAACAAACACCTGACACTTCCGGGCCGCAGCTGCAGCTAAATGGAAGCGAAAGGATTAATTATTGCTCAATCTTTCGCACTCAGCTGCTTTAAAAATCATGCAAAAATACTGTACACATCCGTACCCTCCTTCCCGATCTCCCGTCAGGTCGAGACTGGTCCGGGGAACGATGAATTCGTTGAAGATGAGGCCCTAAAACACAGCGAAGCCACATCCAGACGGCCATTCTTCCACTACGAGAACTACGGAAGCCCGTACCCACCAAAACCTCAAACGCGAAACGCTCTTAAGAATATCTTGTTTAGAAATTAAGGCAAGAATTACACCCAAAGTCTTTATTTTAAAGTTTAGTATACATATTAATTAAAATAAAATTATTGGTACATATATTATTTGCAGAAGATTATAAAATTGGATAACAGCAAATATGACTGACAGCAAGGAAACTCATGAAAAGATCATTTGACATACAGAAGTAGGGTACTGTATCAACTGCTATACATGGGTGACCGGTTTTGAAGCATTTTAAGTAAAGAATGCTTTAACTTTACTACTTGACAATAGCTTAGAATAGAGTAAAAACATTTAAACAATTGTGTAGCATGTCCCTAAAGCACTGAAGTTTTTCTTTAAATCCAAACTCTGACATTTGGCTGTTACTTGTGTTTAAAAAGGCCTTCTGCAGCAGCTGGGAGCTGAGCGGATGTGACAGCTGGATACGGGGGAGATGTGGGTAGGTGATCAGCTTTGACACTGCTCGTATCTGAAAACAGAATGCAAAGACACACTCACAAACACACACACACAAATCTCCAGTGCCCCAGTCTCTTTTATTCTTCCTTAAACACAAACACAGACAGCCCACGCAACAACAGCACACGGGTGAAGGAGTGCTGCCTGTCAGCGCGTGGCGTGATATTATGCCACAGTGTCAGAGTGATTTTCAGGCTGGGGTGATTGGTGAGTGTGAGAAGAATGTGAAGGGCACATGAGTGGCAGTGCAAACACACAACATACAAAAGCACACACAGGTGATGCAACTGTGTTTGCTTACCGCTCCAGTTCTTTATAGACATCATCCTCTCCTCTTGGCTTCAAATCCTGACATAAAGAAGAAAGGGGAAACGGGAAAGAGAGAGAGAGAGAGAGTGAGTGAGAGTGAGAAGGAGTGGGACAGAGAGGAGAAGGATAAAGAGATGTACTCAGGCCAGATTTATGTCCCTCTGGTGTGTAATGAGATTGATTTGTTAATACCACTAATGTAAGGGTGACAGTTGATAGGCAATGTTTTTATCTGAGTGAAGGCTGATAGATTAGAGGAGAAGACTGGAAGTGAGAAGGAAGACGTATCTGCTGACAGCTTAGGGAGGGTGCAATAGAGAGAATGAGACTTTGTATGCACTAGTGAAGATGTGTGTCACAGTTACTTGCACAGAGACATGCATGCACAGTGCCTGCATATGTGTGAGTGCATAATAACTCACCATGTAGACTGGACCCTGGGGAGGGGCCTGTTGGGAGGGGAAAAAACTGGTTTAATGAACATCAAGTGACAGAGAGGGAGGGACACTTGAAGTCGGAGGAAAACAGAAGCAGACGAGGGAAGAAAAAGTGCACTATAGAAAGAAGACGGTAAAGGGGGGGAGGGGAGGGGGAGGGAAGCAAATACCAGAGGGGCGATGGAGAAGCGGGGAAGATGAGGGCAAAAATCATCAGGAGGTATTTAGTTGAATTCATCACCTGTCTAATATCTTCAGGATTCTCATAGATGTTCTCTGCTTCACCCGAGTGGACAGACAGAGACTGCTCGATACCTGAGTACAAAAAGACAGTTACTAGTGTACACACACGCAAACACACTCGGCTGCACAGGGATGGAGGAGCTGGGAGTGGGGTGGGGGGCAGATTCATTACAACAACCCCAGAGGATGTCACGGCCCAGATCACTCAGTGGAAGCCAACAGGGGCCAAAGATGGACGGAACACGGAAAGCTGTCAAAAAAGAAAACGCCAGAAGACTCACCGCGATCAGAAATGTGTCTCTGTCTCCATAGCAACACACCGACAGCTGCGGCAACCAGGGGCACCAGGAGTAATAAAGCAGTGAGAGAAGGGCGCGGGGAGGAGGTGGTGTCATCGACACTCTCTACAAAAGGAAAAAGTGAGAGAAAGAGAAAAGAGAGAGAGAAGCATGATTTTTTCCAAGAACGGTGCTAATATAAAACTCAGAGAGCGGTGATGGTGTGCGGTTGAATGACATTAAGGCTGTCCAGGAACTTATTGCTGTTTGCTCTCCAGTTTGTTCTAGTCGAGCAGGGGGGGGGGAACCTTTTTTTCTTAACACTTGGAGCTATATTTTAGGACATTTTGCACTTCCAATTTCCTGAACATGTTACATGGATTTGCATCATACTGCTGTCAGTCAAGGACAAAGGGTGCAGTGAAATAAGGCGAGGAAATCGAGACTCTAACAGACAGAATGAATAGTCTGTAGAGCAGCTTCGAAGACATCGATCTGACAGACCCTCCGTCTGGACAGTAAAGGCTGTCAATTTGAAGCGTGGATGAGAAGACGGAAAGCAGCAGTATCAAGGAGACCAGATACTCTCTGATCATTACAACAAACAACAAAAACTCAACAAAATGCCACTTCCACACAAAGCTGTTTATGCAAAAACAAAACCCTAATTATTCCATTTCTCATTTTCTAAATATGATGTAGGTAAAGTCTGGAGATGCTTTTCTTTGCACTCCGTTGACATCTGATCCTAGCGACAAAAAGCTTCTAGGCAAACTGACAAACAATGGGGGATTGCAGTCCTTCAGCCAATCCTGGCCGATGCAGTATTTAAAAACAGGTGGTTTAAAAGCGTAGGCATGATTATCACAAACATTACATAAGCACAACATTAGCTCACTGTTGTACAAGTCAAATTTTGTGGGAAGAGCACATGCGTGCGATCAAACTTGTCAGGATTGTTTGCATAATGACGGTGACATCAGTCTTGCAAAACACAGCCACCGGGCAACATGGGAAGCAGCAGGGTGGCGCCTGTTTCCACAGAGATTGTGTAAATTAGTGCACCTGAACAAGCGCACCGTTGTCTGTCTGCTCAACTGTAGACAGAGCACAAAACGGTAAGATCTAACAAACGTCTTTGGGTTACACAAGAGAAGCCTCATTCACTCTCAATCACTGCAAAGACTGATTATGTAATTACATAATTAGCAGAATTTATGATTAACTCCTTCATTTAAGATTCTCCAAAGGACAGAAAACAGGTGAAAAGTAAAGTTCACTTTCACCAACTTTTCACAAATTTTGTTTGAAAGGGGATGGCCCTTGGGCTTCACCTTAGCCCCGGTGTCTCAGCTTTTAGCCAGCTTCAAAATAATCAATCATTATGTGCTGTGTGAGGTGTAATTGATTGGTGAGTGAGTGTAGAGGTTGCTAATGGAATATTGTAGTGAGAGCTGACCCCAAGACTGACCTGCTCTGTTCTCCATGCCAGCTTTAACGCATGAATTATGGTAATTGAGCACAGTGAAGTGAGGCGTAACTGCCCCTAGATTCTCATGACCACTTGTCCTCTTCTTTCTTTCTTTCTTTCTTTCTTTCTTTCTTTCTTTCTTTCTTTCTTTCTTTCTTTCTTTCTTTCTTTCTTTCACCTTCCTCTATATCTTTACTATTTCTTTCCCCCATTGCCACTTCTTTACCTCATCTATTTAATCTCAAACGAGGTAGGGAGTGATTTATATTATTGCAATTGTAGGGAGGAGTGCCTGAAGAACTGCTTGAATGCTTTGCAAACGATGGACAAACTGAAGATAGAAAATGACTGCAGAAAATCCCTGACATTTGAAGTATGTTGTGTGCTCCTCAGCACAATAATTGGTTCAATTCTGCATTCTTTGAACTCTGCCACCGGTGAAAGAATTTTGACAGTGCATTGTTATTTTACCTCCTACACCATGCACTCTGCTTGGCTTACATTTCAGTTAATATCCTAAAATTATAAATATAAATATGGGTTGTTTGGTGCACTAAAAACTTGCTTCACTTACTTTCTGCTCAAAGCACAAAAATGATGCTACCCGAGATGTCTTCCAGAGAAAAAAAAACAGTTCAGAAACCTTGAACTGTCACTACTTATTGTCACATTATCCATTATTAACCATGATTTGATTTTTTGTGCTATCTTGCACTATTGCTGTGTTTGTGCAGTCTGCCACTTTTCAACAGAAAAAAAATGTAGGTCATCCAACACTCACATTATTTGAATTTTCACTCTGTTCAGTCTAAATTCCCTGTGACATGCTGGAAAAATGCAACGCTTGTCATATTTATTCTATACACAGTTGCAAGAAATAGTTTGAATTCCCAGAATTTATGAGGCGATTACTCATAAAATGTGGTCTTATCTTTATCTAAGTCACAATTATAGACAAATCTGATTAAAAATAATAACAAACACAGAGCTACCAGCTAGAGTGCAGGCTGAAAGTTGTTACACTCTTGAATTTATTAACTTGCTGAACCCCCTTTAACAACAACAATCTCCAGTGGATTTTTTCCTGTGGCTGCTTCTGAGACTTGCGCATCTTTGAGACGCTCTTGTTTCAGTTCATCAGTATTTCAGGGACATCTTGATTGAACAGCCCCCTTCGGGTCAAACCACAACATCTCAGTTGGGTCGAGGTCAGAACTCAGAATTGGTGTGATGTTTGCAGGACGCCCACTCCGAGGGAGAGCAGCTACAGTCCTGATTTTCCTCCACTTGCAGGCAGTTTTTCTTGTAAACTCATGAACACCCATGTCTTGAGAGAAATGCTTTTGGAGCCCTTTCTAGCATTATGCACTTCTATGATGCCATCATCATGTGAGAGTTGCTTCAAGCCAGTCTCTCTTGAGAAGAGCAGACTTTGCCAGTAACCTGACTTTGTGTGCATGTATTTAGTAAGAAGAGGCACATCTCCAGCCCACACTTCCAGTCTAACCTGAGCACAGAAGCACCCTAACTTCTCTCAGCCTAGACTTTAAATATTTACTCCGTGTGCTCAATCTGTGCATAAAAAGTGCAACTTCTAGCTACATATTGAGTCAGATTGTGTTTGACTATAAGCATGACTTAGCTTATCATCAGAATATCCAAAAAGTCCAAAAACTTTCTCTTACAACTGTATATGTATCTCAACCTGACCACTCCAATCAGACAAAATCTTGCTGCCTCATCTCTTCTCCTACTCGCCATTCACCCTCCAACGCTCGTTCTTTCCTGTGCATTATTCTTATAGCTTTACCATCACCATGCATCATGATGAGCTCTGGGGGCCTTCAACCCAAGTGATGTATTGGGTTATGGGGAGTGAACTCATCTCTGCTAAGGGATTCATTCAACTGTCACATCCTCCTGTGCTCCTCCACAGCCACCAATACAATAAGCTTGAATTATTTAGTTTTTGTGGGAAGAGATGTCCTAAGGTCTTGTCTTCTTATACTCAGATAGCTGGGTGAGTTTGATGAGAAAAAAAAATAGCCTATATGGCTTTATATTTTCTAGAATAAAATGCAGAGTAGAATATTATCCAATGCATTAAGTTATTCAGCTGGATATTATCACAAAGACTTTTTGTACGGAAGCTTTGACCTGTGACCTCTTTAGCTACATTAAAAAAGCATAACATATGGTATCTGTCATGAGCTTTCGTCTCTGTAAACCCAAGGCTCTCTGGCAGACGAGCTGACCTGGGGTTGGCTTGAATACGCCATAGAACGCTTCGTGCAGCAGATATCCGGGAAGCATCCACATTCATGGTTAATTATTCCCAAGCAGACAGGAAGTCTGCCAGGACTGTTGTGTGTTATATAATAGCGATCCTAAAGAAAATCAGAAAACACACCAACCTTTGGACAAATTCTGCACAACCTTTGGAGACACTGTGATAGCTTGTGTTGCCTGAATGGCCTGCCCATTTTTCAGGTGGAGAACGCAGGTGTAGTTTCCTGCTATGTCAGAGGTGATGGGCAAGGGCAGACTGGTGGTGTTGCTGCCAAGGCTGCTGCTTGACATCTTTAGCTTTCGACTCGCGTTGTGATGCTTCCACTCGACTTTTCGGACCTGGGACCGCTCCGAGTAGAGGCAGATCAACTCCATCTTTGAGGAATATTTCTTGATTTTAACTGTGGAGGTGATGCAGAGTGATAAGCGGATGAGTGGAGGGCAGCACGGGAAGAGAACGAGACCAAAGAAATAAAGGGAAGCCGGTAGGAATGATGAGTTACAGAAAAGGCAGTTGCGGGGGGGGAACAAGGTGTGTTAAAGGGTAGTGTGTGAATATAGAAAAGGGCAAGGACAGATAGAGAGTAATGAGGTAAAGGGATATGAAAAACAAAGAACAATTCAGAGAAGGGTCAAAATAATATATATTCATTAACTTGATTTGCTGCTAATGCATCGCTTGACTGTGACTGATGTTTAGTGTCTCATCAAAGTGGAATGAGAATCCATCTGGGTGTAATCAAGCTCCACAGACCCCATCCACACACACATAAAAAACACACACATTTCACTCTTGATTAGCGTGATCAGTGTGGGCCACCTACAGCCTTGGTGGGAGGGCAGCAGGTATAATCATGCATAATGATACTTATAATGAGGTGGGGTAAAAATATGTGCATCACATGATTAGTGCATTGGTGGTGCATGGTTGGATGTGTGTGTGTATGGGATGCAGATGTGTAAAGCAGGGTGACAGCGACAGTGACTGATCGGCCGGTCATGTCTGGACAACTGTGATGGATGCCAAGGGGACTGTGATTAGTAAAACCCTCCAAGGCCACCATGACAGGGCATGGTGTATGCGTGCATATTAGCTTTGGTGAATGTGGGTGATAATGTGTGCTTCTGCAAAGTGTGAAAACTCCTCAAGGCACACTCATAAAAATCAACAAGCACTCTGCTTGATTTTTTTTCCTCCTTTAAATTTATGAATTGAGCAAATGTTCTTTTTCATGTGTGTAAAGTCAGTGTATTCCTTTAATAATGTAATTTATCAGTGGCTGCAGGAAATTTTCTCTTCCTTTATTCTGCAGTCAGAGTGCATCGTCTGTAGGAACACTGAACTGAGTTAGAGAAAAAGTCGGTGTCTTGCTCAAGGACAATTCAGCAGGAGAAATGACACCTTGACACGGGCCTCCTGGAAGGAAGTCTCTTTTCACTACAGCACTCTTTGAGCCTGCACTGACTTTGCAACTAAGCTGCACATAGTTTAGTTTCACAATTTATATGGTTTTTATTCTATGGTAAGTTCAACACCATTGTCCAGTGTCATTGTGAAATGTATTAGCAGAGGAACAAAAGAGGCATTTATATTAGTTTAGTATAAAGACTTTAAACAAAGTTTGTTTGTTTTTTCCAGTGAAAAAATATCTAAGGTTTGCCAAACAGCCTAAACATACTCGGACTTATTGTGCAGCAAGCAAAGACGCTGCAATGAGGCTGATTTTATTAACATATTTTAGACTGATCTACGTTGTTAGAATGGGCTTAACCTCACAGTCTAATGCAAACTAGACAGTTCTCAAAAAAAGAGGACCAACTTATTTTGACCCTAAAAAGTTTTCCTCCCACATCCAGGGTAACTTAGAACTACGACAAAGATAAATAACAATGACATTAACTAAAAAAATGGCAGCTAAAATTGTGGCGTAAAAAAGAAGGAGGTTGATTGTCTGGAAAAACTGTAGCTACTTTTTGTGTATTGCTATATTTTGAATTTTTCTGTAACAATATCCTGATAAATGTGAAATTTTCAAGCCGAAAATAGATTTGTGTTAATCATCAGTTAGATACTAAGCCAAACAAAGCAAGTTATTTTGATCTATAACGTCACCCCGAGCACAAAAGTGAATAAGCATGTTTCATTTAATGTCAAAGTACTGCTTTAAAAGTGTACAGAAAATGAAAAAATATAATAATAAAAACAGAATAAGTAGGTGGAGAAATATAACAAATGGAGATGCCACCAGCGATTACATGAAAGGTCACTGAATGAATTGATGAGTATGAAAATGATGAGTGAGTCATATGTTATGGCCTTTGCAGGATTTCAGCTCAACACAAAAACATATGGCATACTTTATGATGAAAAGACCAAATAAAACCCATCCATCCACCCATGCATACCTACATATATATACACACACATACATACATCAACTGTTTACAAAGCTTGTAGTAATATATTTTGAAGGCAGCGCTTAAATTCGTCCAGCAAATTTAAAAGTCTAAAATCTCTCTAGAATCTGTGTCAAGGAGAATAAAGACAATTTGTCTTTCCATGTATCTCTTTTATCACAGATGCTTGCATAACAGCATCCTTTATGTCATTCTAACACATGTTACACTAAAACCAACAGTCCTAATCTCCAGTGACCCACTGGAGCTGCTCCTATTGTTTTATTCCTTCCAGTCCACCTCTTTCTACTGCCTCCTCCCTCTGACCCCGATCTGTACCTTTCAGCACGCTGAGCGACGTCCTCTGGCTGAAAACGTTGTCATTGAGCAAGACTTCACAGACGTAGAGGCCACCATCTTTCAAGTCAGGAGTAAGCAGAAAGGAAAAGCTCCCAGCCTCTGGGTTGTAGGGTAGACGAGCCATCTGTAGTTTCTCGTTTTGATTAGTCATTAGAGTACCCCTCCAACGGTCGTAATCGAACACCTTCTTCGTATTATTTTGATTTCTGGTGTCTGGAGGAACCCAGTGCACCTGCACATAGTCCCCCACAACACCAGGACAGGTTAAGAGGAAGGATGTGTGAGCCTGAATGGCAGTGGAGATCAGAGGACCTGCAGGAAAGGGTGGAGGAGGACAGATATGGAGACATTACTGTCCAAGAAGACACGTGGATGGGGAATTCAGACTTAAAAAGTGGATGCATGAAGAGTGGGGTAGAGAAACTATAAACAGAATAGCAAGAAAGTGGGAAAATGGAGATACAGTAGGGGGGAAAAATTCCTTCAACAATAGGGATTACATTCTTATATGCTGAGAGTCACTTCTTCAGCTCTGCTCTTGCATTCTGCTCTGCCTGATTACCAAGCTGCTGACACAGGACTTTCAGACTGCTTGTGTTACAGAGTTACTTACCATGTGTTATATTGGTGAATGAGGCCACTTTGTCAGCTGTGGTGATGGGGTTGGGTGGGGGGCAAAAAGCAAATAATGAATAATACATAAATGTAGCAACTATAATATTCACAGGAGGACTAGCTGGATTTTAGTGCAGATCTACACTCTGCTTTTGAGTCTTGAAACTGGTCTATAAAAGTAAATACTTTGAAGAACTGTAGCTACAAGACTTCTAAATAAATAATGCTGTTGCTGGAGTTTCTGGCATTGATGCCCACTTGCACCATCAATAAAAGCAACAACAAATGCATTCTAGCTCGTAATGCTTCTGCACGGCTTCTCTTCTTCCAGTCAGCCTTACCAGAAACTGTTACATCCACATTGAAAGCAAAGAGACGGCTGCTGCTGTTACCCCGGGGGTAAACTATACAGACATAAGCACCATCATCGTTGTTCAGAACTTGTGGTAGTTTGGCCACAGTGTTGGTCTTTGACTTTTTTTCGCTCTTCAGTGTAATATCACCAGGTCCTGCCCAGGTGACCTTTGTGAAGGCAAAGTCAGGAGTGACGCTGGCAATCAGTCGCAGGGTGCTGTACTGAGGAATGGGTACATCGGGGACGACGCTGACTGGAGATGAGAAAGGAAAGAGTTAATTTGTGCAAATGCACTTAATTCTCCAGCCATTTAAACAAACATTCATTGTGGCAGGCAAAAACAGCCTTTTATTGCTGTATCTGGATGATGTGAGGCTCATTTCGATTGCAAGTAAATTATTTATCTGCTGTGTAACTATCAACATAAATCTAGTGGGTTTTAAAGTCCAGTGTTTCCCTCTGGAATGCAGTGGATTAAAGGTTCAAATAAAACAGTGTGAAGCGAGCTGCATATATAGGTGCACTACTTGACTTAAGAAGATGTGCCAGATGTTACGAAATAAAAGTGTGGTTGCAGAAAAGATCATTTCCTACATATACTGTTTGCTGTCATTTATAAATCAAGCAAATAATATTCTTTTAGTTATGCAGCATTGTGAAGAAGAACTGTGTATAAAAAAGACATAGAGAGATTTAAAAGAAAAGGAAAGGACAGCATGGAGGAGCCAACGCGCAGAAAAATCAAAAACAACTAAGTTAAAGTCTCCCTACACTAAAAGATTTAGTTGGTATTTCTTCTCCTGGATGTGGGACTCTACAGAATGATGGATGTTCAGAGACACATGAAAGCTCTTCAAGTGGAAAGTTTCTCTGAGTGTACCTAAAATGTATTCTTAAAGATGAGTACCCAGAAGACTGATCTGGGACAGACATCACAACTACTTTGAAAGTCAGTGGTCCAATAGGTAAAATACACTGTTGAAGCCCGGACTCACAAACACTGAGAACAGACTTTTTCAGTGGCAGCTTGTGTCCTGTAGTAACATTTGGAAATTCATCTATCTGTTTTCTTAACTGCTTATCTGCTAGGTGTGGTGGGCTCGAGCCCTCGTCATGGTCTGACAGACCACATTTTTCCTTCCCACTGTCACTCACTAACTGTTTGCTCATGAGGGTCATCTGATTGTGTTATTGTAGGGTCTTTACCTACAAGGTAAATTTCCTTGTGGTGACTTGGAGAAATGGTGCTATATAAACAGAACTGAACTGAATTTGGAGGGGGGGAAGGTAAACACAAGGAGAACCCTCACATCCACACCTACAGTTGATTTAGAAGCACCACGAAGATGAAGTACCTGAGAAAACCCCATCCAAACTTCATGTAATCAAGCAGGAGGTTTCAACCTACAGCTTTCTTGCTGTGCTAACCATTGCACTGCCATGCAGCCATGCTGAGAATTCTTGAAAACCGCATTACAAAAATTATTATTTAATGATGAGTGTGTTTAGATCTCACAAATTACCTGGTGGGGAACTTTAATCATTTATAGATCTGTATAAACACATATGCATACTTTATATACCTGAAAATCTTTGATGACATGTTAGTAGGAGTATCTTTCAAATGCACTATAACGTCTTGTTATTCCTACCTGTAAGGATGACTAAAAGGATAATCTCCTCCTTAAGTATCTTCTCTTGTTGTCGTATCAAGCATGAGTAGAAACCAATGTCTGCTGCTTCAGGCTTTAAAGACAGTGAGAAAACCCCACTGTCTTTAAAGTTAGAGTCAGTCAGTTGCATGGATGGCTTCAAGGCACTTCCAGAGATCCTTTCATTTGCACTGGCTAACATGATCAGTTTCCACTCATTTGTACAAAATAGCTTCACCTTCCAGTTAATGGTCACAGGCCCTCTCACACCTGTGTCATTGCAGATCAAAGTGGTAAGCATTCCTTCTCTGACCACCACAACATTGTTCCAATCTGAAGGAGAATAGACACGTTTGCCATTATAAAAGATTAATTCCTGAAGCTGAAATGCATTGAAAATATAGTCTTGCTTTACTGCTCGAGTTTTTTTAATCTTGTGCACAAAGGACAGGATTATGTTTTTCAACTCAAGAAATGACTCTACACATGGCCATATGTAGAGTAAAAGCAACTATTACAGTTAATCCTCATCCCTATTTATGAGTAAAAATGATTTAGATGAGTTTAGCTGAGGCTATTATGAGGCTTCTGCTGTTAGAGTCAGTCATACATAATGGTTATCTTTCAAAGTCTTTTTAGCACAGAATTCCTCTCTTTGTTTCCCCAGACGGTACAGTATTTCCTTGTAGTGCTGCTGTGGATGGATAGTAACAAAAAGAACTTTGCACTAAAAAGACTACGGGAGATAACAACTCGATTTATGTAAAACAGACAACTAAAGCTTCACATTTGCTTCAAATGAATTTAAAATGCATTTCAGAAAAACAAATACTGTGGATTTTTCCATCTTATGATAACTGTGGGCATATCGGTGCTGCATAGGATTAAATAGCAAGGTAAACTGGACCAGGTGGCAAAAACGGCAAACAGCAAAAGGAGAGAAGAAAGCTTTTTTCCTTCTTCTTAACTTGGTAAAAGATACAGTAGGTATAGTTTTTTTTTTTTAATTGACCCTCTGGGACAACAAAACAAGCCTCGCTAGGTGTGACTCATCATCGTAATTTACATTCAGAGCTGTGAATTCATTAAAGTTTGCACTACAAAAGCTGTAATTGCTGGGAAATGAAGGCAGTGTTTTCAGCATGAATAGTTTCAAGTACAGTTAAAAAATGTGCTTCCAAAAATCACAGAAATCGGTTCGTACCTGTGATGCCGACGCGACAAGAATATACCACAGATAAGGAAGCAAGAATAAAGGTGAGAAAACCAACCTCCATCACAGATTTAAAGAAAAGAAAAACCACTCTCACTGCACCAGTTGTCTCTGTCTTTGACACTGTGACCTTTCTTACTCTTCTTCGGAACAGCAAGAAGTATTTTTCTGCATCCTCCAATATTATTGGTTTGCCTGAGTGGCATCTTAACAACTTTGCTGCACATCTTTGAGCCGAACAGGATATGGAGCAACCAGAATGGACATAATCAGCAGGAAAAGACTGTTATTATTCCAGTCATGTATGTGTGCATGGAGCTGATAAAATACATACACGGGCATTACCATAATGTTGGTGTATGATGTTTTACAACACTTCCGAGCTGAACTTCAGGGCAATTAGTAACAGAACTTCTGACCCCAACGCCGAGTTTGACAAAAGGAACGAGCATGTACTCATGTGCGTATCACAATGTGTGTGTGAAACTGAGAAAACGATAAGAATAACAGAAAGTGAGGGATTGAGGGAGATGAAAAAGCGAGAAATAAAGAGCTTGGGTTGGTGTGGGTGCACTGCAACCCCTAGGCTACATGTCTTTACATCCCATAAATGTCTTTAATTAAGCTAAAGGTATTATCAGCTCCTCTGAGCACTATTACAGATTTTTCCATAATTACCATTGGGTGAATGGGGGCGGTGAAGAGAGATAGTGAAAGAGAGAGAGAGAGGGAGAGAAAGTAGATATGTATTGTGGGTGTGTAATGACGGGGAAAGAAAGAAAAAAAATTAAGAGCAGCACGAGGGGGAGAAATGTGGAAGGAGAGGTGCTCAGACAGAATAAAAAAACCCGGGGAGAGAAGAAGTGTGAGAGAGTGTTGCAGGGGAACAGAGACAGTGTGACTTCAAAGAAGCCTGTGGCTGCTGACAAAGAACGTGGTGCTGATCCTGTGGCCCCTCCTCTATGGGTAAATAATCACCATAAGCCTTGGCTCTGTCTAATGAAGCCACTGCCAATGAGCTAATATCTGTTAACTATGGGCTTCATTATCACTGCCACAGACCCCTGGAGAGCATGAGGATGGAGGACGGGATGAATAGCACAGAGGAGTGAAGGACGAGTGGACAAAGAAAACTGAATGACATGGGAAGAGGGAGAGAGGAAGGGAAGGAAGGAAGGAAGGAAGGAAGGAAGGAAGGAAGGAAGGAAGGAAGGAAGGAAGGAAGGAAGGAGAAATTAGGAAGGGGAGGAAAGTGAAGTTTAAATGAAGGGAAGGTGTAAGGGTATGAGATGGTGAGAAAAAAGGAGTTGAGGTACTGTGTAAAGAAAGTGGGTAGTGGCTGTTAAGTGGAAGGTGTGAAGGTCGATTTGGTACGGGTATGAAAAATGGATGAGTGTGGGAAGGAAAAGGAATGAAACCCTCCATTTGGTGGCGACTTTCTTTAAAGCTCCTATTCTCCCATGAATGCATAAGATTTAGCAGCAGCAGTGCAGGTATGGGTGGTCTTCGCTCACTTCCCATGACTGTGCTGGTCTTCTAACACTGTGGTACAGAGCCAGGAGGCAGAATTAATTCCTTTTTAGGAAAAGAAGTCTAAAAGAAAGATATACTTTACAGCTGTTTTTTCAGGTGTGCACACCATTGCTTGACCTCTGATCACTATCAGCGTCTTCAGAATTTGCATCTCAGTAATAGTCTGGAAATAAGAAGCTTGAGGGGAACTGAGAAAAGGAAGAGAACGGCAGGAAGAAGGCAACATGGTTTAAACTGTGGGACTTACGGAGATGTAATTACATTGGCTGTAAAACACTTGGGTATAGGGATTAGACCTAAACCAGATAATGCCATTGCTATGCTAGTGTGCACCCTGCTTCAGAGGAAAATAGGGCAAAATGAATGGGAAGTTATTCCGTAGAAGAAAAAAATCTCATCAACAATGAGTGTGCTGGAGTCTGCAAATAGATACATGAGAAGCTGTTTCCTTGTGATTTGATTTTTGTGGCTGCCACTGGTTTCGTATTTTGTCGTTCATTAATGAATGCTTATTGATTTTGGCATCTGCTGTTCTGGGGTTCATATGAGCTAATGTCACGTCTGTGCGCGGAAGCAGACAGCAGAGGGCGTAAGCATCATCTGCTTTATTTCATCATGACTCGGAGGAATTGTGTAAGCTAACTTTATGTTGTTGTTGTTTTGTTTTCTGGCGTGTTTTTTTTTAAATATAGTTTTAGGTTGTAAGTCACTTTTCTGTTGCAACAATTAGTAGTCTACACAAATTGCTGGTGAGATTGTTTTACTTGGCAGCGCCCTAAAATTGGAAGTGGGTCGTGAAAACCGTATCATCCTGATGCTTTTGAAGGAATAAATCTCCCCCTCAAAGTGAAGCACATAAATTTTGTGACTCTGTTCTTTACGCACCAGCTCCACTGCGCATCTGCCCGTCAAAGAAGAGAGATCACTCCTCTGGTGTCTTTCCTCCCATTTTCTTCTTTGGTACAGTTCATCATCGGGGGTCTGTGAACAGCGGGTGCTGTGTGGTGAACAGATTGGAAAGCTCCATGAGGCAAATCTGTGATATTGGGCTGTACAAATAAATTCGCCTTGACTTAAAACCTGCTGCGTAGTTTGGATGGTATCTAGGTGCAGGTTGTATTCCAGGGAAAAATTCTTTCAGCAATTTCAACAAGTTGTTCTCTGAGCCCCCCGCCTGCCATTGCTAATCTTAATTGTTTTTTTCGGAGGGGGGTGGAAAGGATAAGGACTGTGACGCCTGATGACATCACCTCAGTCACACACGCAGTTCGAGAGCCGCGCGCTCACACGCAGGAAATAGTTGTTGGAGCAGAGAGAGAGAGAGAGAGAGAGAGAGAAAGAGAAAGAAAGCAGCAGTTCTTCACATCCTGAACACCGGCGGAGAGGAACTATTCACCTGTGCGCTGCCAGGACGAATTCACAAGGATTTCCATTCATTTTTAGCCCATTTTGCTTTAAAGACGAACGAGGGACACTTCAAACAAGAATCTCTGTCGGACTCTTGACCTGTCCTGTAACCAAACAAGTTCTGATTCTTTGAGTGAGATTTTACTCCGAAGTTGACCTTTATTTGAAGTTTTTTCTTCTTCTCAAAGCCCTATTTATTTCGGCGATCCTTCGTTCCTGGGGTTTTAGCGGACCGTAATCAACCATGGCGAGACATGACTCCCGAATCTGGCCTGAATGCACAAAAATGATAGGACTGCTCTGCTTGGTTTCGTCGATACTTCTACAGCACGGTAAGAAAAGATCACTTATAACAAGTCAGTGGTGTCCAGCTCATTGCCGACACCGTCTTGTTTTCCGTCTTCTTCTTCTCCGAGCTTGAATAATTTAGGAGAAGACCAATTTAAACCTGACTACCACCTGTCAGGGCGGTGACGGGCGAAGAAAATCCAGCAGGTGATTTCCTTGCTTTCTGTACAGGCGACGCTTTAATTCTTCGCTTTAACTCGTCGGATTTTCTCTGAGTTTTGACTATACTAACGCCAAGTGCGGTGGTCAGAGAGATAACTCTTTATTTTAATTATTTCTCTCAGAGGTTTTGATCGTAAACCAGGCCCATCGGTCTTTGACCCGAGTTTCGGTCGGTGACTCAACGCCATGTTTAGTTTCCCTAAGGTGTGGCTCTGTGGAGCAAGGTGTTGAGGCGAGGTGCCTTCTGCGCTTCATTACCATTGGTGACTTCCCCTCTTTAAACCTACACCATGTTTCAGTCTATCCTTCGTACTCCTTTTCCCACCTTAAAGCCCATTTCATCCCCACAGCCCCCTCCCTGCTCCTTTTCATTCCTGTATCCACGCATTGACGAAAACTGGTCTGGTAACAGCTCTTAATGTACACTGAAACTGACAGAGGGGGCAAGAACTGGATGGCCCGCTCTGGCTAATATCTAGATGGAACTTGCGCATGATTTTCTTTCAGTGTACCGCTTGGATTTTTTAAAAATGTAATCTGGCGTCTATTACTTTAAGCAAAGTGACTGGCCACGCCTGCTCGCGTTAATAATTCAGCTGTTTTCCAGTCTGCTTGAGCTCAGGTAGCGTACAGGTACCGCGACCGTAGGGCTCCCCAAAAATATTCCTGGTATGCACTTAACCTATTAGCATATGAATATGTTGCAGGAAACCAGTTCAACATTCTCGCTGCCTTTCCTCACTAGACCGGGTATTTTGTTGTTCTTTTTTTCCTGTAATTGGGGCAGGAATGTAGGACTAGATCTAAAGTCCTGGCACAGCTACAGTATACATTTTCAATAGTGAGCGGGTTGTGGTGTTTTTTAATTGCAGTTTTTGAGTTATTCATGCAGTGGACCTTTTTTGTCCGATTTCATTTTACAGAACATGAAGTGCTCTTAGTGGAGGGAGAAAAGTGGAGAAAACAAAACAAAAGGCTTTACATATTTATGAGTGAGGACAAAAGCAAGGCATTCCCTGTGCAGGCACCAACGTGGCTTTTTCCTTTTCATTTTTAGTATTTTTTTTCGCTTTTTTTTTCAAAAGGGACTCCTGTCTGACTTCCTTTTGGTTAATATGCTATGGGGAACTGAAACTTTTTACTGGTCTCCTTTTGCATTTTTTTTACCTTCACTTTTCCCTCTAGAGGTTTGACAGCAACCACTTACCTCCACTTCTCCAGCTTCAATCTGGGAGCGAAAGAAGTTCATTAATTTTCTGCAAAGTTTTCAATTTAACATGGCCCAGCTTTAATGTAAAAACCTATCCAATTCAATATTGAATTGGATAGGTTTTTAATTATGTTGGCTTCTGTAATATTTCTGAGTTCAGCAGACAAGTGGCCTGCCAGTTTAAGCTCTGAAATTGAACTATAATACCAACCCCGACCCCCAAGATCACCACAAACCATGGATGTGGGTCAGAAAGGCTTTGGCCCATTACCAAGGAGATGTTTTTATTGGAAGAACGGTGGGCTTACGTGAGGGGGAGTGTTTTGTTTTTTTTTAAAGTGGGGGAGTATGAGGCTGTGGGAGTATTGTCTTTATGGCTGAGTAAGCTGCGTGTTTGCAGGGGGTGGCTGGCTGGGCGCCCGAAAAACCGGTGGGCATGCAGGGTCAGGGCTGGGGGAAGAGACTCTGTCCTTCTCCGCTCACAAATAAGCCATTGTTGTTGTGTTTTTAATCTTTTGTATACCTGAAAGCATTCAGAA